GGGGGGAGAAATAAGATGTATAAGCAAAAATCATAAACTTGTATGAGGAGTATATAATATATAAGAAACAACTGCATCTATGATCTAGCCACAAATGTCACACACACGACTCCTATCACAATCTCAAACACAGCAGTGCCACAGCACCACACAATCCAAACCACTTGAACTCACACACAGTCTAAGAATGATGTCGATGATGATAAGTTCGCAGTAACTGCCAAACTTCAACAACAACAACAACAAGACCAACAACAAGACAGAGAAGCACCATTTTGAAATTATTCACATGAGAAGACAGAGAAGACCCCGTCGGTGACAACCCCAACTATTTGTTACACCCGGAAGTTACAATAATAATTGCTGTCTTCATCATTACTGCAATTATAAACAAAGACAAGATCATTCGGAAAAGAATGTTTACAAAGTTTTAAAAAAATTAAAGACGAAGAACTACTGAGACATGATGATTAATTATGAGCATTTTGCTGGGTGCCCCGTTTGGCGTTTGCTAGGATGAATTATTATCAACGGGGCACCAGACTGCATAGATAAAGGACACAGAAAGGGCAGACAACGGTAACGGGCAGCAAAACAAATCCCCGTGAGCGGTCAGCTCTGTGGGAAGGCGACTCCCACAGGCTGTACCGATCAAACGAGTGTGAGTGAGTGAGTGAGCGAGCGAGCAAGCACAAGCCACACACACACCCGCTCACCCTCTTGGAGAATACTCACACACACACACACACACACACACACACACACACACACCCAAACACCCCCCCCCCCCAAACACACACTCAAGCATGCATACACACGCATGCTTATGGTCACATGCATAATCTAAATGAAATATAATATAAACTATAATACTATCTTAAGCTAGATACATACTCAGTATTCTGATTGTGGCTCAAAATTGACTCCCATGGTCCTGACCTGACCGTTAATGATTTATTTATAGAGGCACCAGCCATCCATGTCCAGGTGCTGTTTTTATTGTCTGCGGATTAATATTCTTTTTTTCTCTTCAATTCTATGTACCCCGTATGATCGTATCTATGGTTTTCAACACTCCCCAGGGTCTTGCCCCACGGATTGCTGATCTGAAACCTTTCAGCCCAGACCAAGAACCCATCTTTCCACCAGACCTGAAGGTAAGAGGGCGCCCACAACGCTAGTACTTTCCATCATAGAAAGGGGCACAGCAACAAACCGCTGCCATAGAATTACAAAGTTCTGCCTGCTCAGTACCTAGTATTGAGAAACTTGACGCAAAACTGTTCGAGTTTCACAACATATCAAGCTTTGTCAAATGAAATTCTTTGAATTTTGTTGATAACGATTGCGAATAATCTTAAATTTTGATTCTTACAATTTTGATAGAGCACGTAGAACATTTGAGCAAATGATCTTCGTACCTCGAAACGACCTAAAATGTCAGATAGAACTTCTAAGGTAGCGAAACCGCTCTTGTAATCAATGCCCGTGGTATTAGCATCGTCTGTGCAGGCGTCTCTGGTGTATTGGTTAAGTTCTCCACCGTTGTGAGGATTCATTCATTCATTCATTCATTCATTCATTCATTCATTTATATATTTATTTATTTATTTA